AATAAACGGTTGCCAGGGCGAGGTGGGCTGGGGCCAGGGCCGGGGGGGAAGCTGGGTCCAGGGCCAGGGTCAGCGGGGCGACGGGGGCTGGGGTCAGGGCCAGGTGGGGAGGTTGGATCCAGGGCCGGGACCAGAGGGACAACGACAAACGAAAATAAAGGGTCCAGGGCGAGGGGGACTGGGGACAGGGCTGGCGGGGGGGAGGCTGGGCCAGGCCCTGGGCCAGCGGGGCGAGGGGAGCTGGGGCCAGGACCAGGGGGGAGGTTGGGTCCAGGGCCACGACCGGACCAGGGACGACGACGAGCGAAAATAAAAGGTCCAGGGCGAGGGGGACTGGGGCCAGGACGGGGTGGGGAGGTTGGGTCCAGGGTCGGGACCGGACCAGGGGCTGGGGACGACGACGAACGAACGAAAATAAAGAGGTCCGAGCTCTAGATCACAGCTGTGCAAGAGAATAAAGTGGTCGGGGCGAAGGGGGCGGCGCGCTGGGCTGCTGGGGAGGGGGGCGGGGGGGGGGGGGGCGACGACGACGCCGAAATAAAGTGGTCGGGGCGGAGAGGCGCGCGCTGGGCTGCTGGGGAAAAGGACAGGGGGGGGGCGACGACGACGCCGAAATAAAGTGGTCGGGGCGGAGGGGGCAGCGCGCTGGGCTGCTGAGGAGAGGGAGAGGGGGGGGCGACGACGACGCCGAAATAAAGTCGTCGGGGCGGAGGGGGCGGTGCGCTGGGGTGCTGGGGAGCGACACATAGCGACACATGTCGACACAACGCCGAAATAGGGCGACGACGACGCCGAAATAAAGTGGTCGGGGCGGCGAGGGCGGTGCGCTGGGCTGCTGGGGAAAGCGACGCATGTCGACACAACGCCGAAATAGGGCGACGACGACGCCGAAATAAAGTGGTCGGGGCGGAGAGGGCGGTGCGCTGGGCTGCTGGGGAAAAGGGCCAGGGGGGGCGACGACGACGCCGAAATAAAGTGGTCGGGGCGGAGGGGGCGGTGCGCTGGGGTGCTGGGGAGCGACGCAGAGCGACGGATGTCGACACATATCGACATTTAGAGACATATATCGACACACAAATATCGACGCATAGCGACACACAGCGACACATAGCGACGCACACATGGAGACGCATAGCGACACACAGCGACACATATAGCGGCAAATGAAGGGCACAAGGCACACAACGACACATGTAGCGACACATGAAGGGCACAAGGCAGCTGGGGGGGAGCGACGACGACGCCGAAATAAAGTGGTCGGAGCTCTAGGCACCCTGTGCAAGAGAATAAAGTGGCCGGGGCGGAGGGGGCGGTGCGCTGGGGTGATTGGGGAGGCGACACATACGACACATGTCGACACAAACGCCCGAAATAAAGTGGTCGGGGCGGAGGGGGCAGCGCGCTGGGCTGCTGAGGAGAGGGAGAGGGGGGGGGGGGCGACGACGACGCCGAAATAAAGTCGTCGGGGCGGAGGGGGCGGTGCGCTGGGGTGCTGGGGAGCGACACATAGCGACACATGTCGACACAACGCCGAAATGAAGTGGTCGGGGCGGAGGGGGCAGCGCGCTGGGCTGCTGAGGAGAGGGAGAGGGGCGGGGGGCGACGACGACGCCGAAATAAAGTCGTCGGGGCGGAGGGGGCGGTGCGCTGGGGTGCTGGGGAGCGACACATAGCGACACATGTCGACACATATCGGCATATAGAGACATATATCGACACACACATATATCGACGCATAGCGACACACAGCGACACATAGCGACGCACACACGGAGACGCATAGCGACACACAGCGACACATATAGCGGCACATGAAGGGCACAAGGCACACAGCGACACATATAGCGACACATGAAGGGCCCAAGGCAGCTGGGGGGGAGCGACGACGACGCCGAAATAAAGTGGTCGGAGCTCTAGACACCCTGTGCAAGAGAATAAACAAAAACCAACGCGGGCCAGCGGTCGGCGCCGCTGCCTGTCGCCCTCGGGCGCACCCTGGCGCAGCCAATCGCAATCGCAAATAAGCAAATAAGCAAAAACCAACGCGGGCCAGCGGTCGGCGCAGCCGCCTGGCGTCTTGGGGCGCGCCCTGGCGCAGCCAATCGCAATCGCAAATAAACGAAAACCAGCGCGGGCCAGCGGTCGGCGCCGCCGCCCGGCGTCCTGGGGCGCGCCCTGGCGCAGCCAATTGCAATCGCAAATAAGCAAAAACAGACGCCGGCCAAAAGTCGGCGCCGCCGCCTGGCGCCCTGGGGCGCGCCCTGGCGCAGCCAATCGCAATCGCAAATAAGCAAAAGCAGCGCGGGCCAGCGGTCGGCGCCGCCGCCTGGCGCCCTGGGGCGCGCCCTGGCGCGGCCAATCGCAATCGTAAATAAGCAAAAACCAGCGCGGGCCAGCGGCCAGCGCCGCCGCTGGGGCGCGCTCTGGCGCAGCCAACCGCAATCGCAAATTAACAAAAACCAGCGCGGGCCACCGATGGGCGCCGCTGGCTGGCGCCCTGGCGCGCGCCCCGGCGCAGCCAATCGCAATCGCAAATCAGCAAAAACTAGCGCGGGCCAGCAGTCGGCGCCGCCGCCCGGCGCCCTGGGGCGCGCCCTGGAGCCGCCAATCGCAATCGCGCCAAAAAAAAAATAAACAAAAAAAACAGCGCGGGCCAGCGGTCGGCGCCGCCGCTGGGGCGCGCCCTGGCGCGGCCAATCGCAATCGCAAATTAACAAAAACCAGCGCGGGCCAGCGGCGGGGGCCGCTGCCTGGCGCCCTGGCGCGCGCCCCGGCGCAGCCAATCGCAATCGCAAATTAACAAAAACCAGCGCGGGCCAGCGGTCGGGGCTGGGGCGCGCCCTGGCGCGGCCAATCGCAATCGCAAATAAACGAAAACCAGCGCGGGCCAGCGGTCGGCGCCGCCGCCTGGCGTCCTGGGGCGCGCCCTGGCGCAGCCAATCGCAATCGCAAATTAACAAAAACCAGCGCGGGCCAGCGGTCGGGGCTGGGGCGCGCCCTGGCGCGGCCAATCGCAATCGCAAATAAACGAAAACCAGCGCGGGCCAGCGGTCGGCGCCGCCGCCTGGCGTCCTGGGGCGCGCCCTGGCGCAGCCAATCGCAATCGCAAATAAGCAAAAACCAACGCGGGTCAGCGGTCGGCGTCGCCGCCCTGGCGCAGCCAATCGCAATCGCAAATAAGCAAAAGCCAGCGCGGGCCAGAGGTCGGCGCCGCCGCCCGGCGTCCTGGGGCGCGCCCTGGCGCGGCCAATTGCAATCGTAAATAAGCAAAAGCCAGCGCGGGCCAGCGGTCGGCGCCGCCGCCTGGCGTCCCGGGGCGCGCCCTGGCGCAGCCAACCGCAATCGCAAATGAGCACAAACTAGCGCCAGCCGCAAGTCGGCGCCGCCGCCTGGCGCCCTGGGGCGCGCCCTGGCGCAGCCAATCGCAATCGCAAACAAGCAGAAGCCAGCGCGGAGCAGCGGTCGGCGCCGCCGCCTGGCGTCCTGGGGCGCGCCCTGGCGCAGCCAATCGCAATCGCAAAAAAGCAAAAGCCAGCGCGGGCCAGCGGTCGGCGCCGCCGCCCGGCGTCCTGGGGCGCGCCCCGGCGCAGCCAATCGCAATAGCAAATTAGCAAAAACCAGCACGGGCCAGCGGTCGGCGCCGCCGCCTGGCGTCCTGGGGCGCGCCCTGGCGCAGCCAATCGCAATCGCAAATAAGCAAAAACCAGCGCGGACCAGCGGTCGGCGCCGCCGCCTGGCGCCCTGGGTCTCCCACCTGACGCGCTCTGGGTGGGGAGTGGCGCCGCGAAGCTCGGAGCCTACCGGGCGACTCCCCGAATCAGAAAGCCTCCGCGGCGGTTTTGGCAGGGCGCCTATGATTGAAGGAACTTGGCCCGTAAGAAAGTGGCAGCCCCTGGCGCGCTGAACATGGCAGCCGCATAAGAGAGCTGCAGGGGCTGAAATGAAGAACCAACTTTCTTATTGAGCGCCGTGGCAATGCAAGACGAGAAAGAAACATGACGATGATGAGGAGAAGAAGAAGGGGGTGCTACGGCTCCTCTTCCTTCCCCACGCCAAAATACCCTCATGGGTGTCAAGATGCTGGAGGGAGAAGGGCAATAATTAAGAGGATGAGGGGAGGGGGAGGAGGAGGAGGAGGAGGAGGAGGAGGAGGAATAGGAGGAGGAGGAGGAATAATCTTATAACGAAGATAAGGAGGATGAGGACTGACAGCAAGGGAAAGAGAGAGAGAGAAGGACAGAGAGACAGAGAGAGGAGAAGGATCATGATGACGTGAATGGGAAAGGAGCGTAAAACTCCATTGCGAACGAGCCTCCTTTTCTCATTATCCCCCCGCCCTCTCCTAGAGGGTCTGGACAGGGGGGGGCGATTAGAGCGTTGAACATTGCCCCAGATGGCTCCCAGATCAGAAGATGCCCCCGCGAGCCCAAGGTCGGTCAAACACTTCTATCGTGCCAGCCTTCTCGCACTTTCACCTCCTATGGACACTCGGGAATGTGCCCATGCCCATGCCCATTCCCCCCTCTCCTTCTCCTCCTTCCCTTCTTCTTCTTCTTCCTCCTCCTCCTCCTCCTCCTTCCCGTCTTCTCTCCCTTCCTCTCCCCCTGTCAATGCTACCACTGCTCTCCACCTTTTCTTCCCCACCCCTCCTCCTCCTCCTCTTCCTCCTCTTCCTCCTCCTCCCTCTGTTTCGCTTACGCTCCCCCACGGCCCCTCTCACGATCTCTCGTCACAGGGGGCTGCTTCCAGATGGGTCGGTGAGGACATGCGAAGGTCCAAAAATCTGGGGGCGTGTTGCCCGAAAGAAACGCAGCATCATAAACATAAACTGTGCTCCACGGATTTCTTGGATCGGCGCTGGGCCCCCTCTGCCTGGCGCGCGGAGCGCGACAGGGGCGGCGCCAAGAAATCCGCACGGAGCGCCGAAAGCTTATGCTTCTGCCGTTTCTTCCTTTTCCGACATATGGCAGGTTTTCCTCCCTCGGTTGTCCCCTGTAAGCCTCCTCCAACCTCGCGAGAAAGAATATGAACGCGAGCCCAGAAGCTCGCCAACGCCAGGACAGGCCAGGCGCCGCCATGCCGCGCGCCGTGCCCGCGGGAGAGAGGGGCGGCGATGATCGGCGGCGCGCAACGGGGGCCGGGGCAGGCCATGGACACCCGCATGGCCCGTTCCGAAAACCCTGAGAGTCCCCCAAAAGATGCCATTTATTTGGGGCGCGCTTTTTACTTTCGCCAGCTTCCGCAAGCCTTCCGCCGGCGTCCGCCGGCAGAGCCGCCTCCGTTCTACTTCCGCCGCCTTCGTCGATGGAGAGATGGCAGCCCCTTCGATCCTCGAGGGCGGCCCTTTGTGGAACGCCTCACGTGTGAGCGACGACAGGAGACGGGTCTCTTGCCATCGTTCGGGCGCCCGTTCCCCGTGCAGTGCTTGGTTTCGCGCGTGCTTTCTTCTCCCGAGATGGCCCAAGCTGCTACACGCTGTTCCAGGTTTCTGGCGCTGGCCTCGACGAGAAACGTGCACACGTCCGGACGATGCCAAGATCTTAGGCCCGATGGCATAGCAACCTTACGCGGTGGCGTGCGCGGCCGCCAACGCAGCACGCTACATTGGAAACGAGGGCGCTTCCGCGCGACCTTACGCGGGCAGCTTACGCGCGAATGTCCGGGCAATCCAGCCCATTCTTATGCGTCGCCCTGGTGAACACTACCCCTGCAGGCCACATTTCTGAAAAAGCGGGTGGGGTTCAGAACTTGAAGGATTTCTGCAGCCATGTGCACCCCCGCGGGCGTGTCCAGTACCCCAGCCGCAATCGGACCCGTAGGGGGAGTGCTCGCAAGTGGTCGCAGAAACCATGTCACCGAACTTCGCTTACCGCGCCCCGCAACTCGGGCTCACGCCAGCATGGGTGACTGATCCGTGGATCTGGCGCGCGGGCGCCAGATCCACGGATCGGGAAAAGTATCCGACAAAACATGAAGCCAATGCCGCCTCATCTGGCGACAGAACGCGCCGATTTTGCATTGAAGCGGGACGCGTCGCTAATCCACGCGCCCTAATCCATGTTTGCGCTTCCTCGAACCATGCGCGACGCGCGGTTATCTTCGCGCCCTCTCGCCAGCTCGGCGGCACCGACCGCGACGCGACAAGAACGGCTGTCTTCGCGTTCCTTGGGGGTGACCTGGGCAAAGAGGAAAGCCTTCTCTAAGGTGACCACCACGCCTCATCGAAACTGTGGTGCGTGTGGCCTCCCATCGACAAGGCTCGGTGGCAATAACCTTCAGCGCACCCCGCTATCCACCTCGCTGAGTTGGAGCACCCGTCCTTGGAGTCAAAAGTGTGTGTGTGTGTCTCTGGGTGCGCGTGCTTGTATATCTGCGTGTGTGTGTGTGTGTGTGTGTGTGTGTGTGTGTGTGTGTGTGTGTGTGTGTGTGTGTGTGTGTGTGTGGGGGGGGGGGGGTGCGTGTGTGGGTGTGTGTATGTTTGTGGTGTGTATGTTTGTGTGTGTGCGTGTGCGTGTGAGTGTGCGTGTGCGTGTGCGTGTGGTGTGCGTGTGGGTGTGGGTGTGGTGTGGTGTGGGTGTGTATGTTGTGGGTGCATGTGCGCGCGCGTCGTGTGTGTGTGTGTGTCGTGTGTGTGTGTGTGTTTGTGTGTGTGTGTGCGTGTGGGTTTGCGTGTGCGTGTGTGCGTGTGTGTGTGTGTCTTTGTGCGGGGGGGGGCCCCGGTCTGAGCTGGCCCGGCTTCCGTCTCCCTCCCGCCACCGCCGGGCGCCTCCTCCTCTCCCCCCCGCGCATTGCGGCTTAATTCGCGTTCGTATGCCTTACTAGTGCTTTTCCGCCGGCGCAGTCACTCTGCCTAGCCGCCGACGAAAAACTGTGTGTGTGCGTGCGCGCGCGAGTGTGTGTGTGTGTGTGTGTGTGTGTCGTGTGTCGTGTGTGTGTTTGTGTGTGTGCGTGTGCGTGTGCGTGTGCGCGTGCGCGTGCGCGTGCGTGTGCGTGTGCGTGTGCGTGTGCGTGTGCGTGTGCGTGTGCGTGTGCGTGTGCGTGTGCGTGTGCGTGTGCGCGTGTGTGTGTGTGTTTGTGTGTGTGTCGTGTGTCGTGTGTCGTGTGTCGTGTGTCGTGTGTCATGTGTCCTGTGTCGTGTGTTGTGTGTCGTGTGTCGTGTGTCGTGTGTCGTGTGTCGTGTGTCGTGCGTCGGGTGTCGCGTGTCCTGCGTGTGTATGTGTGTGTATGTGCGGGAGAAGGGGGGGCAAGGTTCTCTGAGGAGGGGCCGATCCTTTGAGGGGCCGACCCCTTCCGAGAAGCCAACCGCCTTCTGGAAGGCTTTCCCCCTCTTTCGCCCTGGCCACCGTTTGCCCGCCGCCGCCAGTGGGGCACAGTTTTTTCTTTATGGGTCCTATGGTTTGAGCCTAAGGCTACCATTCCCTCGCCAGCGTTCGCAAGCGCATGTCTTCCTCCTCCCGCCCCCTCTGGCGAGGAGGAGCAAGAGGAGGAGGAGGGGGGGGAGGAGGAGGAGGAGGAGGAGGAAAAAGAGTGGAGGAGGAGGATGGGGAGGGGGAGGACGAATGATACTGAAAAGGAACACTGATGATGATGATGATGATGATGATGACAATGATGACAATGATGATGATGATGATGGTGATGATGATCGTAATGGTGATGATGATGTTGACGACGACGATGATGCTGATGATGACGACGATTCCGATTGTGGTGGTGATGCTGATGATGTTGATGGCGACGCTGCTGACGATTATGGTGATGATGATGCTGAATGTGATGGTGGTGACGTTGATGATGATGATGCTGATGATGGCGAATCTGATGATGATGATGACTCTACTCGGCATCAGGACCAAACGAGCCAGCACAGCATTAAAAACAAAAAGTTGCGGTCCGCCGCAGAGAGCCGTTGCTCTCGTGTGCCCCCGCTCTGGAGCCACGCGTCGCGGGTGCTAACACAGGGACGCTGCGTCGCGCTGCCACGAAGCATCGTCGAGGAGGCGTGTTATCCGTCAAACAAGATAGCGGCGGCCTCGCCCTCGGCTGCTGTATCAAGCTGATCGTGAGAGCCCTCGAGCGCTTTACGGTCGAAAAGGGCAGACCCCAAGTCGGCAGCTGCTGGGAAGTCCGGCACAGAAACAGAAGTTGCTAGCACGGGCGGCGCTAGAACAGAGGCTTCTGAAACACTGGGCAATGATACAGTAGCTGCTGAAACGGCCTGCACTGAAACAGAAGCTGAAACGTCTGGCACAAGGCGCGGCACTGAAACTGGAGCTGCTGAGATAGGCTCTAAAACAGAGGCTGCTGCATAGACTGGCGCTGGCAAGCCGGGCATACACTCTGAATCTACGGTGGCTGAAACTGGCGCTGGCTGCGGCACTGAAGCTGTAGAAGCTGCTGAGAAACACGGCTCTGGAACAGATGATGCTGCTGCTGAAACTGGCACTGATACTGTAGAAGCTGCTGAGACTGGCACTGAAAAGATCCGCCGGCCCCCTTGTGGGGCCACCAGGCTGCGAGGCGCGTGATTCGCAGTTTCCTGTGCCAGTTGTAGTTTGTAGTTTCCAGTGTTACAGTTCTGCTTCTTGCTGGTTACTGTAACTAGTTGACTGATTGCTGGTTACTGTAACTAGTTGATTGGCCGCGTGAGGGGGGGGGAGGCCCAAACAGGATCTTTTAGCACCCCCTGGGCGCGTTGTCTGAATTGCTGGGGGGCTCGAAATCTACACCCCTCACGCAGATCGGCGGGGTCAGGGTCCAAAAACAAAAGGATTTGCCACATTTCTGCAATTCGGTGCCACCCCTCACGCAGATCCGCGGGGTCAGGGTCCAAAAACACATTGGATTTTCCACATTTCTGAAATTCGGTGCCACCCCTCATGCAGATCCGCAGGGTCAGGGTCCAAAAACACATGGGATTTCCTACATGTCTGCAATTCGGTGCCACCCCTCACGCAGATCCGCGGGGTCAGGGTCAAAAAACACAAAGGATTTGCCACATTTCTAAAATCTGGTGCCACCCCTCACGCAGATCCGCGGGGTCAGGGTCCAAAAACACAAAGGATTTCCACATTTCTGAAATTCGGTGCCACCCCTCACGCAGATCCGCGGGGTCAGGGTCCAAAAACACAAAGGATATGCCACATGTCTGCAATTCGGTGCCACCCCTCATGCAGATCCGCGGGGTCAGGGTCCAAAAACACATGGGATTTCCTACATTTCTGAAATTCGGTGCCACCCCTCATGCAAAAACACATGGGATTTGCCACATTTCTGAAATTCGAACCCATCACGCACATCCATCGCAAGGCGTGGTAACCCAAACTGCGAGAACTCCCTCGGCCCTTTAATCGCAAGGTGTGGTAACCAAAACCTTAAACCATACACGTCTTACCAATCGCCAGGTGTGGTAACCCCTCTTGTGATCAGTTGGTTTTGCTGATTGCGACTCGGCTTCGCATGAAGTTTCGATACTGCTTCACGACAGCGCCAAGGCCTCATGACTTAGCTCTTCCATGGCCCATTCTCCGAGAGAGGGGGCCGGCGGCAGGGGGCGAAGCCCTTACGGATAGAAGCTGTTGGGACTGACGCACGCACTGAAACGGGAGCTGCAACATGCTCATGCTCAGAGCCTTCTGAGGGCGGGCGATGGTTTTGAACATGTACACCGTGGCGGCTGGCAGGCAGCGGATGTCCCTGACGAACACTATTGCTTGAGCGTCTCCAGCCAGTGCGCCATCTCTTCCTCGAGCCATCTCGCTGGCGCCACCCTACGGTGGTGCTACGCCACGCCCTCGGCGGCCAGCGCCTTCATGATAAGCTTGCGGCCTGGCCACTCTGGGGCCCCCACGATCAGCTTGGTCTTGTCCGCGTCGAAGCAGCACTCGAGCCGTATGAAGCTGATCTGCTGCTGCAACTCGTCCTTCGCGACTTCGACGTCGGCCTTCTCGTCGGACGGCTGGGCCTGCTCCAGGTAGGCGCCGATCTCCTGCTTGATCGCTCCACCCACGTCGCACTTCAGGAGGCTCTCCAACGCGGCGAGCCCTAGTGCTGGAGCTGGGGACCCTATCTCCTTGAGCCTCTGCTTGTCCTCCGCGTCTCCGCCGCGAAGCTT